TAAAATATTTCTTGTATTTGATAGATTTATACTTTGCTTTTCCACTTGTACAATTTTTTTAAAAAAACAAAAAAACAGTGCATACAAAAATAAATAAATTAAAAGCTAATACAACATTCTCAATATTGCAAAAGCACTGGTGGAATCTTCTCTGCTTATTAAGGCTATATTTCATCCTACTCTCTGAGGGCGGGATCCTTGAAGACAAAAGGGAGAAAGGTAGGCAGCAGGTATCACAAAAGACATCTCACCTGGAGTCTTCTTTTCCTTCCCACATGGTCCTAACTATTGACTGCACTCTGAGAAGGATCCTTGAAATTGATTTATTTTCAAATTTTATATTTGATTGTGCATTACATTGTATCAGATTCTAAAAGTAGAATAGGATGCATTCCAGAAGAACTACTTTTAAAAGAATTTGCATGAGTGTGATGCCATTTTGAAAATGTTCTCTTTTTACTAGGCTCTCTTGGAATCTGGAGCATGGAACCACCATTTGAGAGTGATACAATTAGTATGGAAGAAAAACTTGCCTTGATGCTTCAATTCGGTACCAAACTCCATCATCAATTGTGAGATCCGGATAGTCTGCACGCCCAACACCAGATCCCACATCCCATAAGAAATCCACTTTTCCTTTACGCATTTCTATGGCCAAGAAATCAGTCTAGAATGAGGAAAGGATATGTTAAACAAAATGAACATAGCATAATAATAGTGTTTACTACCTCTAAGACAATCTGGTAAAAATAATACAAAGTGTTATTTAGTAAAATAGTGAAAATGAAGCAATTAAGTGCAATGAATGGTTATATACTACCACGAAGGGATAATTATTCTTAATGTAATTTTTTCTGAAAATCTTTCTTTATCATATTCTATGTGTAATATTTATGAATTGAAACATTATCTTTCCCATTAGTACTGGTTGTCAATTACTGTCTTGCATAATCCATAATTTCCTGTATAATTTACATATTTAAAAATGTTTAAATCTATTTTTTAAAAAATATAGGTAACGCAAAGAGGAAATGTTATAGAAACAGGAAATTCAATAACATCCCGTTGTCTTTATCTTAACTTCATACCTTTGCATAATGATATCTGCTGCCCAGGGATACCTCACATACATTTTATGTTTAATTTATTTTACTGATTTTACAATACTATATAATATGAATGTGGGTTTTTTTTTGGCTGAAACTTCTTTTTGAATCAGTTTTGCAGGTTATTGTTTCTCTTGGGCTTTAGAAACAAATGAAAACTATTTAATTTTTTTTTGACCCAGTTTTTATAAAGTTAATTAATCCATCAGTTGTATTATTTCCTTAAAAGTTTACAAATTACATTCTCTACTAGAAGTTCTTTTGATCTTCTTCCCTTTGAATTTAGTTCCTTTGGAGTATCTCTCCATTTTGATGGGGCTCCTCCTAACAAATGTCTTATTCTCTTCTACCCCAGCTTCCTCTTTCAAATTATTTTCATTTTTGCCACCTGATGAGAGTGCTAGAAACACCAGCATTTTTAAACATTATTTATCACTATTGTGGTAAAACAAAAATGGTCCAGATCCTATCCGTATCAATTTTATAATTGGTGACTCACTCCAAGGAAGGCACCCCCATATTAGATTAACTGAGCCTAGTTAAGGGTTCAGCAGTAGGAATACTACTAATCAGTTTCCTACACAAGCAGTGACAGTGTCCTAATTTGAGCCAAGGGGTTTTGATAATAACAATACTTGCTTTTGCTGTCCCTTGGGAAAATGCAGACTTGATGATACGAGATGGTGACTTATGGGAAATGGCAACAGTAATGATAGGTAGCTCTACGAACATCAGATGATGCTCCAGCTATATTACCAGAATTAATACCACTATATAATCAGATGGTAACAATTTTTGAAAGAAAAACTAATGTGGACTTACGTATCTGTTACTTCCAAGATAAAAAAGTAGATTATCAGGAACAGTTGTCTTTACATTGAGAATAACGGTGTTGTACAATCCTTTTTTAATTTCTGGTCTGTATGTTCGAATACAGTTTCCTCCTGAGGCTACGGATACTTTAATCTTCAATTGGCAATTAAAGGCAAAAGAAAAACAAAGATCAATTTTTAATATTTTCAGTTCCACTCATGAAATAAATTGATATGAATTTTCTAGAGATCTGGCTTTAGAATATAAACTACTGGCAATTTTGTGTAGTAATCTCTATGGACATCACAATCCATACCAGAATACACCAGAATATCTGACAATGTACCAAGTCCTGTTTTGACAACTCAATTGCTGAACAATTCTGAAGAAACTGCCTAATGAAGTCAAATGACCTACTATATTTGAAACTTATACATACGCGATATTATTTTAAATATTTTTCCGTATTGTTTTAGGTTCTGCATTATGAAAGTCTTTTGTATATTGTGCTTTTACTGTCAACTGTTGCTAGATGTGTCCCACAGGATCTTTTAATTTTTAAAACTAATTATCTAACAGTCACTAAGAGTTCACTTAGTGCTTACTGTAATATTATTATCATTATTTTTAAAACCAATGGCATTTCTGTGGGTATGTCAAAAAAATAAAAGACTCAATAAAGACCCAGTCAATTTACTTTATTGAATTTACAGAATTACTTTCCAAAAACAAACAAGGAAATTGACCATTTCATTTGATTACTGAATGTTATTATCTGAAACTCTGAAAGAACATCACGCTAACCAGGCAAATGTACACAATATTGGTATGGATTTCATAATTTGAAAATAAGGTAATTCTAGGATTATAAAAGAGATGTATTTATAATTCTGATGAAAGGTTGTCCAAATATATGCAAAAATTGTAATATTACTACTTTGCAGCAGTGAAAGTATCTGCATATCACAGTGATGCTATGCTATACTGTTGGGACTTTACACTTCCAGAAGATTCATCTATAATGGACAAGTCATAGACAAGGGAACAGACTAAATACTGTATGATCCCTCAGAGAAGAAAATGGCAACCCACTTCAGTATTTCACCAAAGGGACATTCATAACCAGGGCAATGTTACAAAGGACTGCCAGGACTATGAAATAGTGAATGTGGCCAGAGCAACTATGTCAAAACTGAACATTGGTTCAACTATGAATTCAAGACAAAAGCAAGAAGAGGCAAGGAGTCATATAAAATTAGCAAATGTAAATATATGAAGAATATAATTTGAAAGGAGAAACAAGATATTTGTTTAAGAAAATTGGAGAAGGCAAGCGAAGCTTTTATATAAAAACAAGCATAATAAGATGTAAAGATATCAAGGATCTGGGAGAACAGCACAAAGTTACGGAAGAATAAATTACTGCTAAGCAAGGTTTCATCCCTGTACTAGAGCCAGCCAAACATTTTGAAAAGTAACATTAAATGGGCTCTAGAAAATCACTTGCAGTTAGTTTATAATCAGGTAAGACAAACACCCTAGAGCCAAGGAACTGGAGGAGACCCATTTATATTCCAATAGCCAATATACTGTATATAAATTTTGCAGTCCAGACTTATATGCTAACTAAGAACTGTCAGATATTAAAGCAGGATTCAGAAGAGTTGTGGGCATCTGAGTTCACAGTACTAACACTGAATGTATAATGGCAAAATTCTAGACAATTTCTAAAAAGATGTCTGTTTTTCCTTTATTAATCATACAAAGACTTTTGATAGTGTATCACAAGAAATAGCAGATACTTTTCAAATATGAACATACTAGACCACCTCATCTGTCCATTGAAGAATTTATATAACAACTGCAAGTGATAATGTTAATAGGACACAGAACAATTAAATATATTTCAAATATGTAATGAAAATATTTCACTAGAAGAAATACAGGTTAGAATCAATGCAGCTGGGAGAAACATAAAAACCTCAGCTATGTTGATGATACCACAGTGATAACTAGGAGATTTTTAAAAAAATGTCTTGTTGAATTTAAAAGAAGAGAAGGCAAAAGCTAGTCTGCAGATTGTTCCATACAAATAACAAAAAAATCAAAAATCAAAACAAGACCAAAACAAAACCTCATGCAGAACAATTAAGATTACATCAACAGAGAATGCCAATTCAATGCACCCGAGCATAGAAGAAGGTAAAGTAATAGTAAAAAAAACAAAAACCTTTATTTTCATAGGCTCAAAAATTCACAGTGATAGTGATCATAATAAAGAATGGAATAAAGAGATATCTGCTACTTGGATGCGAGGTGTAGATAAAATATTAAGATGCAAAGATAGTACAAGAAATGCTCATATTATAAAAGCAATAGTTTCCCTGTTTTAACAAATGGCTGAGAAAGTTGGATCCTAAAAAATGCTGAATGAAGAAAAGTTAATGCCTTTGATATATGGAGCTGGAGAAAACAGTTAAGAATTCTTTGGGTTGCAAAGACAACAAATAATTCAGTGCCATGGGAAGTAAAATCAGACTTCTTATTGGAAACATTAATAATGATGCTAAAGCTTAAATATTTCAGACACATAATACAAAGGAGAGAGTTGTTGGAGAAGATCTTAAAGCCTGGAAAAACATCCTAATGTAATAGAAAAAAAGGACCCTTAGAGAAGACAAGATTATATACTACTATTAATGACACTAGCAGGAACATAGAAGAACTCAGAAAAGCATTGCTAAACAATCTTGGAATATTACAGCCATTGGATCACAAAGAGTGATCACTCTTTGAATACTCATGTTTCTATGAACAGAGCTAGTTTATACAGGTAGTCCTCAACTTAGGATCACAATTGAGCCCAAAATTTATGTTGCTAAGTGAAACATTTGTTAAGTGAGTTTTGCATCATTTTACAACCTTCCTTTTGCCTCACTTATTGAGTGAATCACTGCAGTTGATAAATCAGTCACCTAGTTGACTTTCTTGTGAGGAGATTGCAAAAAGTGATCACATGTCCTTGGGACACAGCAACGGTCATAAATATGAAACATTTGCCAAGCACCTGAATTCTGATCCCATGATCATGGGGATGTTGCAAAGGTTGCTACTGTAAAAAAACGGTCATAAGTCACTTTTTTCAGTGCCACTGTAACTTTGAATGGTCACTAAACGGACTGTTGTAAGTCAAGGATGACCTGTAATTTTGGCTCCTCCTACATTCCCTGCTCCTGCACAATCAGCAGCTCCATCTTGTGTTTTACAGTACAACCTTTTCTGGAACAGAATCTTCTACTTATCATCATTCATGTTTTGGTCATCTCTTGATTGGGCTACTCTCATATATTGTACTTGGGGTTGCCCCTGAAGATGACTCAGAGGCTTCTGTTGGTCCAAAATACAGCACTTCAGACAGTAACAGATATAGATAAAACTACTACTACTACTACTACTACTACTACTACTTTGAGAACTGCACTTGTAACTAGTTTGTTTTAAGGAGTAATCCAGGATTCTGTTTAAGAGTTTTAATTTTTTTTAGGGATCAGGGCCTGGATATCTTTGGTATTGCCTTCTACTAGTGCAGGGATGTCAAACTCACATCATCACAGCATCGTCACATGATGCATCTGGACTCCTCCCCCCCTTTGCTAAACCGGGCGCGGGCATGGCCAGCACGTGACGCATCCAGCCCAGCGGGCCGTGTGTTTGACAGCCCTGTCCTAGTGGTTTCTACCTGTATATTATTTTTGAGAAGAAAAGATTCTCTATGGGCCTTTAACGATTGCCATCTGGAGAAGGACTTTTCAGCACTTTCTCTGGACAATGCACCCTCTCTCTGAATTTCTCTACAAATTAGATCCCATATCCTTGAGTATTCATAAAGCTAGAAAGACCTGGGTTTTCCAGTGTATCTTCAAGGTCTAATATGCTTCTTTTGACCCTTCTTAAAGTAGAACATCTATATGTTAACATTGTCTGCAGTTATTTTGGATTGTGCAGGAATGTGTGTCTGTCTATTTTAACACAATTACTGCAATGAATGATAAGATGGTCTCCGAATATCTTTCACAATCTATTATCACTGAAACAGTTTATAGCCATAGTAAGTAAACAAATAAATCAAATAATCAAAGAAGCCAATTAAAATGTTAGTAGTTGTTCAACGTAAAGATCATATTAGCAAATATGACAACATGCAAACAAAAATGTATCTCACCAGATTTATTTTTCAGCAAGAATAGTAATTATGTGAGAAGAAATAACTGTTACCTATGATAGTTTATATTCATTATTTGTTTTAGGGGTAGAAGGAAGCAGTAGATACCGAATATTCAGACCAGAACAGTAAAGCAAAAAACACAAAATAAAACCAAAATAACCCTCAAGGAAATACCCTACACTTAAATTTATAATCTTAGAAGGTTAGTTACCTGCATTAAAAAATAGCCCCAAAAGATTTATATGTTTAAAAATCTTTGAATGGTACAAATATCACTGAGACAGAATCGCTATTAAAAAACGATCAATGTGGATTTTTTTTTTATCTCACCCATAAAAATATAGAGATGTCTACTCCAAGGCATGAATAATGTTAAGAATGTAACTTTAAAATCTATAGATAGAAATTATTGTGGAGCCAAATGATTGCCTCTATTTTATATGAAGGGCCGTCTATCAAGTAAATATGCTGTTTTCTCATTATTATGACACATACTTTCCTTTTTATATTTTTCCTGGAGCAACATAAAAGCTTTGACTTAAACATATTCATCTTCAGAAATCCTTTTTTAGGCTCTTGTAGGTCAGAGGGCAAATAGACTTAGAATTACCAGTTAAAATGTGTTTCAAATGTAATTGCATCTTGAAGACAAACTTGGGACTCAATAATAAAACTAGAAAGTGATGTTCTGAACCCACGTACATAATGAGGGAAAAAATGGGACAGCAATTTCCTAATATTCTTGGTTAGTCTGCAAGATGTTGTCAATTTTACTTTCCAAGCAGCATCGCAGCGTGATTACCAACTGTACACATTCAGAATATAGTAGGGACTGTATTGGGTGGAAATGATTCATTAAATATTTGATCAGTTAGTTTCTGTTCAAATATTAATACTTCCTATTAATATATATATATATGTAGGAGATTATAATTTATCAATACACATTAATGCCAATTATTGAGATGAGGATGAAATCATACTGTTACAATTGCCTCTTCAAGCTCTTACTTTAAGATCAATATTTGGTGAGAAGATTGATTTGAAAATCTGAGATGAAACAATGTGGATATTTTTGGACAACCTTGGGATTTTTAACTTATTTTGACTGAGTAAAAAGGTTTTTCCTGTAGGCAGCAATTATGTAGCCTGTACAGGCCCAGTTTCACCATTTACTTGGAGGAGGAAGACTACACTAAGAAGTGGGGAAAAGAAATGTGCCAGGTATAATCTGACAAACCAACTTTTCCTGTACTCCCCAAAAGTACAGTTCGTTTCTTGGAAGTCTTTATTTTTTCAAAGAAATAAACTAAGTTCTTACAGAATTGGCTTGCTTCCTGGCTTGATTTATCAGGTCCTTAATGTGAGAAATGTTCTTCCCCAGATTATCTTGAAGTTGTTTGATTGGTTTCAATTTATCCATCAACCGATCTGCTTCTTTGCCCAGATTTTTAACAGTGTCATCTGCATCAGCAACTTTATGTGAAAAAACAAAACAAAAACAGAGCAGATTAAATTTTGGATGCAAGCGCTATTAATAAAAACTGAGAGCACTCTGGGGCAGTGATTTATAAATCAAAAATGAACTCTTCCCTTGACTCTCTCTTCTCAAAAATTTGCATCATGGGTAATTTATTAAAACATGTCATTATACCTGAGATAGAAAACTGTAGGTTAATTTTGCACTCTGGCCAATGATACAAAACATTTTCTTACTTCATATGGCCACGTGGATTTTATTATTAAAGAAGCTTCCTGATCTGGATGGATCCTTGGAAAATGATGGTTTAAATTAGCCATGATACAAATTTTAAAATAAGAATGTCAGGAGTGAAAAGAAAGATGTTACATTCATTTCTAAATTCATGAACAATGTTTAAAACTGGGGTTGCTATGCTCAAAGCAATCTGCAGTGGTCATATTGAAGATGGCAAATCATTGTCATTTTAATTTGAATTTTATAACTTGCTTTAAAGGCAAAATAGTAGCAAAGCAGCAAGAGTTAGAAAAGGGCTCTGGGGAGCAAAGGTTTCAGGGCTTACATTCTTGCATTGCAGAACACGTTTTGAATTAAAAAATAACTTATTTGCCAATTAATATATGAAGTGTTTCATATCTCAAACATACCCTAAATTTGCAAAATTTGAATAAACATGACAACAGGAACTTCAGACCATGGATCAGCATGAATAAAACAAAATAATATAATGTCCATAGATGGTTTCATATATCATATGTACAATGGGCCCCATGTGTAGATTTGGTACTGTAGCAGATTAATATCTCTGCATATCCTAAAAAAAATGCAAATCTTACTAAAAACTGTTCTTATAGATCTCTACCTGTATTTGTCTGAAACCATCTTCAGGGCATGGTAATCTAGAAAAAGGAACAATACATGGATGGACCTGGCAATCTTGGCAATATACATAATCCCAATCATCTACTATATATGAGGCAGTTAGGGTTTCTGGTTTGTTAGATAAAAAAAATCTAGTTGGCTTTGGAAGGTCATAAACAACCCATAGTGCCTTCTTCTATGGTGTCTCATCGATCTCTGGTATTCCTGTTTGCTTTTTCATGGAAAGATGCATAATAGTGAGTACACTAATTATGTATTTGAATATGAAACATCTTCGATAGTCCATCCTGAGTCTACTGCTTAATAATTAGAAAGCTCTAAGCTCCAAGAAAATGCAGCAAAATGTTTGTATGTGCATGGGGATATAGTGAATTCACTCTACTCAAAAATTTTTTTTTTCTGTTGAGTGTTTTAGATGACTATTCAAACTGAAAGTATTATGTTTAATTAATTAAAAATTGATAGCTAGTGACAATGATTGCTGTGGTATTCAGTGTGAATGTGGAATACTCACACTGAAGAACCCCTGTTTTTGTTATCTGAATGCCTGGACATTCATCCTCAAGATGCAAGAGAAAACTAGTGAATAATGACAAATGTAACAAGTTTTCAACACATTGGGAAGTGTACAGATCGATTGATCTGCATGTTAGAATATGTAGATCTTTCCTTTGTTTATTTGTTGAGCTTTTGAATGGAAACATTTCTTAATTTTTAAAATGTGTTTGATAGATATATATGACTATCTAATAACAGAGCTAGGTTTCATTCCTTTTTCATAGCAAAGCTGCTTGGATAAGTTAGTACAAGTCTAGAACACAACAGCTATTATTAGACAACGCCTAACATAGTAACCATGCAAATATATTTTTAAAAAGAATAAAGTGCATGAAGTTAAAACCTTATACGTACTGATTCCTGTAGGCAAGTTTTGAAGCATTTTTTGAAAAGGAAAAGAAAGAATTTTTAAGTAAATTAAAAACAAATCAACAGCAATATAAAACAAATTGGTGACTGAACAAAAAAAAAACAAAAAAAAAAACTGGAAGTGGGCACAGTTTTCCTGGCTGAATTATGCTGATTTGAAGTAAGTGGGATATTTTCTTTTAGGACTTTTAGAACATGGTAACTAGCTGATCTATAGATAATTAAAACTTGGTTAATGAATATAAAGGCCGTAAGAATGTTTTTTATTTGATATTACCATGTATTGGTGAAGATGTAATATTTCCTCATCTCATAATTATGTTGCTCTTCCTGTCTTCTCCACCCTTTTGGGGGGTTATGCATATCCCTATTTCTCTGGCTTAAAGTTTTCCTTTCTCATGTTGGTACGATTTCAGGCTCCATTTTAAAACTAACTATGGGGTAAAGATAGAATGTTAATGGAAGCTCGTGCAGAAAGAAGAATGAAGGGGACATTTAAGTGAGAAATGGGAGAAGTAAGAGTAAAGGATCAAGACAGTTTGCAAGAAAATCCTGATCTCTTTACTCCAGTTAAAATTGAAATGGCAAGTACAGCTCAGGAAAATGCACATCTTCAAACATGATTAGAAATAAGCAAAATGGCAGGGATGAACAGACTCTAGTCATTCAAGATCTACTTGACATTTTACTTCCCCCATTCCCCCAAATCCTCTAAATGGAGTGAGACACCAAATAATGGTTCAAGCAGAGATGGACACTTCTGAAAATGTGTTCAACCCAGAAACTCAAGCAGACTAAAGCTGAAAAGTCTTTTAGCACCACAATCACCAAGTGTTGTTTTTCTTTTCTGATTAAGACTCACTGGTATTGCTAGACTTCTGGGAATCTGAAGCCCCTGTCAGTCTGGTTAAATGACTCTAAATTGGATTGTGTCCATGCTGGCTGTATGCCAACAGTTAAATTTAGCTGAACTGTAATAGCAAACTATCTTCAGGAACACCATTCCTGACTTTTGCTAGAAGATATTTCTAATTCACATAACTGAGCAATAAAAATCTTCAAATAATAAATAATAAAACTGCTCTCTATTCAAAAAAAGAAAGAATAGATTTGTGGAGATATAACAGTGCAATTTTGGGGGGACATTTGTTATTATAAAGATTCAACAATTCAAAGCCCATTTTCCTCTAGTCTTAGGGAAACTACTGATACAGCAATGTCTATGCTGGCTTGGGCATGTCATGAGAATAGCTGATGGTCGGATTCCGAAAGACCTCTTGTATGGAGAATTAGTGCAGGGAAAGCGCCCTAGAGGGAGACCACAGCTGCGATATAAGGATATCTGCAAGAAGGATCTAAAGGCCTTCGGAAAGGACAGCTGGGAACAGCTGGGAAACCTTGACCTCTGATTGTTCAGCTTGGAGGCTAAAGAGCCAGCATGGCCTTCTTCAATTCAAAGAGACACTCGTTTGGCAGGCTGAGGCAAAGAGGCAGTCCCGGAACCAGCGAAATCCAGGGGCTGGATAGACTGTATCTGTCCTCAATGTGGAAGGGATTGCCACTCTCAAATTGGCCTTGTTAGCCACACTAGATGCTATTTTAAGACCTCTTTTCAGAGCACAATACTATAGTCTCTTGAGACTGAAGGATGCCAATTCAATATGGAGACCTCTATCTTTTCCCTTTACATTTTTTCTGGTGAAATAATATATATATTTCCCTATAAATTATATTTTCCTGCATATTGCAAAGATGATCAGATCTGAAATGTGTCTCTGTGTATCCCAAGGGTGATCCACTCATTGAGGCAATATAAAGTAAAAAAAATGGTTATTCATCCGCTAAAGGTCACATAGAACCAATTTGGTGTAGTGAATAAGGAATCAGGCTAGAAACTGGGGGACCATGAGTCCTAGTCGCATCTTGGGCATACCACTTTCTTTCAGCCCTAGGAAGAAGGCAATGGCAAACCATTTCTGAAAAACCTTGCCAAGAAAACTGCAAGGACTTGTCCAAGCAGTCTCTGAGAATCAGACACAACTGAATGGAAGAATCAAAAACAGGACAGCTATGTTAGAGACATTTTTTTCTCAATTCTACCAGTAATATAGTGCTTTTCAGTGAATATAACAAGTAAAGGTTCAGCATAAAATATGTTCCTAACATACCTATATTACCCAAGAGGTTATAATACATCTTCTACAATCAAAAGACAGCTTTATTATAACTTTTCCATTCAATTAATTATACCGTATACTTACCTGATTTGTTCAAACTACAAATGCTTACCATTATTTCTACTGTCCTGGGAATGATCTTTCAAGGACATTTTTATTACTAAGAGTTGAAGCTATTTTTTTTAATATCAAAAGCAATGTGTTAAGAAGGCAGAAGGCAATGGAAAACATGCTGCTAATTAAGCGGTATTTTGAGTATACAAAATAATGAAGGAATTATGTATGGAATATCACCAGGAAGGTCTAATTTTTAAAGCACGTGAATATCATCATTCTTCTCTATATATACATAAACTTTACCAACCTTAATAGGTGTTGAAAAGTGCATAACACCATAATTTAAATCAGGGGAAGGAACAACCCTTGCATTTCAGAAGATTAAAAAAAAAGAAAGAAATCCAAGAATATAGGCATAATAAGGTCTTACTATTTTTAGTAGGATCTTTCAACATAGCATTTGTTTTGGCTGCATCATCTGCAACTTTTCTGTATCTGTCTTTTAATCCAAGGAGGTTTTGATTGAGATCTCTGATTTTAGCCAGTACCTCATTTGCAGTATCATTAGCTTGCTTGGCTTTGTCTTTAACTGCTTGTACTTTGGCTGCTGTATCTGTAAACAGGAGGAGGGTAAAAGAATAGAACCAAGAGACATTTTATTTATTTGATTTTTATCCCATCTTTATTTTTTAAAACAAATAACTCAAGACAACAGACATATCTACTTATCACATCTTGTACATACAAGTAGTATTATATTAATTAATTTATTTATCAAACTTCTTAATCACCTATATCCCTTGTAGAGGGACTATTTGAGTGGAGTTGGGTCCAACTTCAAGACAAAACCTTTTTTGTTTGCTTCTGAAAGGGTAAATATTTATTTTTAAAAAAAATTAAACGTAAAACCTACTTATTTTCACTTATTCCAAGAGAAAAAAACAACAACCATGAACCCCTCTGAACTAACAAGAGTCACACATTGTTAGTGCTGTAACAATGACATCAGTAAATGTGCCCATAACATAACATCACAATATGATGAAATATCAGCAAAACAGAAAATACAACCCAAATATATATTAACTGAACTGAACTGTCTGAATTGTTTTTTAGAATCTAAATTTACATAGGAAAAAAGAGGGGCTATACCAGTGGTGGGATTCAAATGATTTAACAACCGGTTCTCTGCCCTAATGATTTCTTCCAACAACCAGTTCACCAAATTGCTCAGAAACTTAACAACCGGTTCTCCCGAACTGGTGAGAACTTGCTGAATCCCACCACTGAGCTATACTTTCATGTTTTTATATCCTTAATTTTTGTTGACCTGCAAATCATTGTATCTACTGCACTGGCAAAGATAAGTTCACAGTTTCTTGTGAGTAGGTTTAATTAACTTTCTTTTAAATCAAAGAATTTCAGCAAAATTTGTCATAATGAACGTATCAGGCTGGTCTGTATACAATTTGGTTCCCCGATACACAATGTGTTTTAACTCCTAGGCAAGTAGCACAATGAACTATGATGTCATGCCTATTTACTTCACATAATTAAAACACTGGCAGCAGATCTTGGCTTCCATTTGCTGCTGTAAGTAACAAATCCTACATTCAATTCCAGCTGCTTTCGGAACAAATTGCTTATGTTTCTTCAGAAATGATGTTCTTTACTCAACTTGACCTTTTTCGCTCTGAATATTTGCTCCTTTCTTAGCATTTTTACTATAACAGCAAGGAGAGGCACTTTGGGAAAATGAACTAAAATGATGGATTGGTTGGCAGAATGTCATCTTTCATTGCTTTTAAAAGAAAAAAGAAGGACTTCTAAGAATGGGAA